GACAAATTCACAGGGAAAATTCTTCTCAAGGGGCTGTGTAGGGCTGGTTATTATCCTATACCTTTTCACATTTCTCCGAAGCTGCCATCTGCATCATCTTCGTTTCACAAATGCTTTCTTGCACAACCAGTTAGTACAAGTCTATGGCATCGACGGCTAGGACACCCCTCTAATGCAATCACTTCTGCCATACTACATCAACATCAACTCTCTGCATCTTAAGCCTCTTGTAAAACAGTTTGTACACCATGTCTAGAAGGGAAATTTACCAAGTTACCTTTTTCTTTTCCCACAAATAAATTTGTACATCCCCTAGCAATCATTCATAGTGATGTATGGGGCCCTGCTCCTATCTTGTCATATGAAGGGTTTAGATACTATGTAACCTTTATAGACGAATGTACACGATTTACATGGATTTTTCCTTTGAAATTTAAATCAGAAGTGTTTGCTACATTTGTCAAGTTTCATGCATTTGTGTGTACTCAATTTTCTGCCAAAGTTAAAATTTTACAAAGTGATGGTGGAGGAGAGTATATTAGCTCTCAGTTTCAACATTTTCTCACCACCAATGGTATCCTTCATCACAAATCATGCCCACACACTCCTGAGCAGAATGGATTAGCTGAACGTAAACATAGGCACATTGTAGAAACTGCCCTTACTCTCCTTCAAACTGCTAAGTTACCTAATCTCTTCTGGTTTCATGCTTGTGCAACTGCAGTCTATCTCATCAATCGCTTGCCCTGTGTCATTCTTCACATGAAATCTCCTTATCAACTGTTATATGGTCATCTTCCACACATTGGTCATTTCAAAATTTTTGGTTGTGCATGTTTTCCTCTATTGAAACCATATAACACTTCCAAATTACAACCCAAAACAGCTACTTGTGTGTTTCTGGGCTATGCAGGCGATTATAAAGGTTTTCTATGTTTAAATCTTATTCAAAACAAAATGTACATATCTAGACATGTGCTTTTTGATGAATCCACCTTTCCATATGAAAAGTTCTCTGTTTCTGTCCAATCCTCACCTTTGGTAGTATCATCTCCATCATTTCATCCTTCTCCGTCATTACCATGCATTACATTGACTAATCAAGTCACACCATCACTTCATACTCATGCATCCTCATCTCATCCTACAACTTCAATGCATTCAGCATCTAGTACTCCAAAATCCTTGCCTGCATCTAGTGCCTCAGATTCCTTGGCTGCATCTAGTGCCTCAGATTCATTGGAAACACTTACATCTGTCCCACATATGCATACTTCTCTTCCTCCAAGTGTTGACATCCCAGGTACCATGCCTACACAGTCCCCCATCCATGTGGATCCTGATTTCCAACCCGATCATCTTAATGTTGTTCTCTCATTACCACTGAATGTGCACCCTATGGTCACACGTTCCAAGAATGGTATTGTCAAACCGAAGGCTTTCTCTGCTAGCATTGGCTCTCCGTCTCCTGTCTCCGAGCCAAAGACATTCAAAGCTGCTTCTAAAGTTGTCGAATGGCAAACTGCAATGCAGGAAGAGATCGATGCCCTTCATTCTCAAAAAACATGGTCCCTAGTTCCTCTTCCATGTGACAAGAACTTGGTTAGATGTAAATGGGTATATAGAATCAAGAAGAATGCCAATGGCACTGTGGCAAGATATAAAGCCCGGCTTGTAGCCAAAGGGTACAACCAAGAGGAGGGTGTTGACTACGGTGAAACATTCAGTCCGGTGGTTAAACCTACAACCATTCGTCTTATTCTTGCCTTGGCATCACAGTTCCACTGGCACCTCCGGCAACTTGATGTCAAAAATGCCTTCTTACATGGCGTTTTACAGGAAGATGTACATGGAACAACCTCCAGGATTTCTCAGCAACCAGTATCCATCTAATTATGTCTGTAAGCTTCACAAGTCCCTCTACGGGTTAAAACAGGCTCCAAGAGCATGGAATGATAGATTTACAAGTTTTCTCCCTGCCTTGGGATTTCAGTCTTCACATGCCGATCCATCGTTATTTGTTCAATCCTCTCCACAAGGCATTGTTGTCTTACTGCTTTATGTGGATGATGTTATTTTAACTGGCAGTTCCTCTCAGTTAATAGCTCAAGTCATCAAAGCTCTTACTGCTGAATTTGAAATGAAGGATTTAGGTGATCTCCATTATTTCTTGGGGCTGCAAATTAGTCCCACTGCAGAGGGTTTATTTGTTTCTCAATCTAAATACATCAGTGAGTTAGTTGCCAAGGTGGATTTACAGGCTTGTAAACCTTGTGCTACTCCCTGTTTACCATATCATCGGCTCTTAAAGGATGATGGCAAGCCATATCACAGTCCTGATCAATACAGAAGTATAGTGGGAGCTCTTCAATATCTCACATTTACGAGGCCTGACATAGCCTTCTCCGTGAATCAAGCCTGCCAGTTCATGCATAATCCTATGGAGTCCCATGTCATTGCAGTCAAACAGATCATCCGCTATCTCAAGGGTACACCAGATTATGGGATACATTTTAAACCTGGTCCCCTCTCCCTTCTATCCTATAGTGATGCCGACTGGGCTGGGGATCCAAATGACCGCCGTTCCACCTCTGGCTTTATTGTTTTTCTTGGATCCAATCCTATTTCCTGGTCCTCAAAGAAGCAGCATACGGTCTCTCGGTCATCCACAGAGGCTGAGTATAGGGCTCTTGCTATCACAGCTGCTGAACTCTCTTGGATTCGACAATTGCTTTGTGATTTACATATTCCTCTCTCTCACGCCCCGTTGATTCACTGTGATAACCTTTCGGCCATTGCTCTTTCCACGAATCCTGTCTTTCATGCGAAGTCTAAACACATTGAGATTGATTATCATTTTGTTCGTGAAAGGGTGACACGAGGAGATCTTCATGTTCATCATGTTTCTTCTGCTGGTCAGTTTGCTGATATTTTCACAAAGGGTTTATCTGCACCCTTGTTTCAACATCACTGTGGCAATCTCATGCTCAGTTCCCTAAAGCATGAGATTGAGGGGGGATGTAAGAGTATAAGTAAGGACAACAAGCATCAAGAGCAGAGTCCAAGTGAAAGCAATTCAAGGGTCTAGATGAGGACAAGTGTCACAAGATCAACAAGGAAGTTACAAGGTTGTTAGGATATGGTGCTAAGGTTGTTAAGTTTGTTAAAACTGATATATTTCATATCTTAGCTTATAGAGCAAGATATGTAAGGATATAAATACAGATATCCAAAGATGTAAGACGATGATGAAAAATACACAAGAAATATAAAGAAATCTTCTCTGAAATCTCTTTGTCTCTATCTCTCTAAATTTCAGTTTCTTCGACTACCTTCATTGAAGCTACTGCTTCAATCTTCACACCTTTGATGTGCTCTCTCCTCTGATGCTCTTTCTCCTCTTACTTTATGTTGAATTTAGAAGTTCTCAGTGTAGGATGAGATTTTTTTTTCTTTAAAAATAATTGTAGATTTCATACTAAACAAATTTTTTAATTAAAAAACTGAAGCAGCTGGTGTTGTTCATCGAGAGAAATTTGGAAGAGAAGGTAGAGTTATTATTCTATACAGCGATGTGCTTTTCTTAACATAACTCTCTTTTAAGTTTTAATCAATATACAGCGATGTACTTTGTGAATCAGGTATGAGATGCAAAGATTAAAGTTCTTGCAAGCCTGAAGCAAGGTACTGAGGAAGAATGCTTGGAGTGGAATAAATTATCGTCTTCTCTCAAGGTTAGAGCTCATATTGTTATGGTATAGATGAAATGATTTAGGTCAATATGATCATGAATTAACTATTTTAGGTCATTTGATGACATGTAAAGGAAGTTTTATTTGATCTCAGTTTCCGGCATTGTCGATATGGTAGGGTTCTTACATTGAGTTTGTTTCATTCAACGTGGTTAGTGGTGCTCTGACTTCTGAGTGACATGTCATTAACTTTGCATATGTTACACATGGACACGACACTCACATTTGAGCTTAATTTAAATCTGTTCCAGAGCTATGAATTTTGACCTGTTAATTTGTACTTCCAGTCGGTGCATGTATAGATATGTATGTAACAATTATATTTGGTTTCAAATTGAGCATCTGCTTATTAAAGCCTAGTTTGGTACTGAGGTGATTCTGAAAAAAGCTGGTATCAAAAAAAGTTAGGAGCTGTTTTTGTGTTTGGTAAACATTCAGCATCAGCTTTTTTTTCTTCACAGTTTTGGGTGAAAAAAGCCAAAAACAAGAAGCTGCAAAACCCAGCTTTGAAAAACCGGCTTTTTTTCACATCTGTTTTACATAAAAGTTTACCAAACACTATAATACTACTTTTTTTTTCAAAATCACTTTAACAAAAAAGTTTACCTGCTTTATTTTACAGCTGTTTATTCTCACATCACAGCAGAAGCATTTTTTTTCTTCAAAGCACAGCAATACCAAACCAGCACTGTTGAGACAAGCTATTGAAATTGTTATATTATGCTTGAGGTTTTTATAGCATCTATGGCTCACATGTTGCATGTACCTTATGTTCTCTTTTCAATCTGAATATCCTAAATACACCCCATTGCTTGCCAAGATATTGGAAGCTGTACCTTCTCGGAACAATGACAAGGACAAAATCTCCCATGAAAAAGAGGTAGCGTAGTGATAAAGTTTGTTTGTTTGGATGATTTTTGGTTATATTTTTGGATCGGTTTTTGGGGTAGAATGGCAGAGAATTGAGAGGATATTGGGGTGTTGTTTTCAACTTCAAGGTTGTGCTGAAAATGCAGCAGCCATAGTTCATTAAGTAGAGAAAATGTGAAAGGGTATGGTACATTTCCATCACCCATACTTGTGTAAAAAAGTTGGTGATTAGACAATATTTAAACACTAAAATCACCTTACTACTCCAGATTAAATCCTAGCCCTTCATTGGGATTTAAGTGATTTAATCTGGAGTGTACATTTGTCACTCACACATTTAAACAAAACTAGCCGTTGGAGGCCAACTCTTCATTTCTTCTTCTTCCTTCTTCGATGCAGAGCCCTTTGCTCAGGAGATCCTTGCTACCTTCGACCTCTCGAGGACTCCAGGAGCTGGTTAGCTTCCAACACGTAGTACAACCATATGGCCAAGAACGATGTAGTTTTGTAAGTTTTTATTCACTTGCAAGTGAAGAAATATAATTCATGTTCCACTTCAAGAAGTTGTGGGGTTTGTTGCCACGTGATTACCTCGCCACATGTTTTGGGTTTAGGGTAATTGTTCATGAGCAATGGATCTCCATGCAGAATAACCCATCTTCATCATTTTTCAATACATGATGAACCGATTCGTAGTTTGTATAGATAGTAGGTGTATACAACCTTTCTAAGCTCAAGGTGCGGGGTTTGTTTATGCAGTGATTTAATAACATTTATCACGTGCTTTGCTTTGCAGGTTATTGATGCAGCAAATGAGGTGGTTGACAGTGTTGACAGAGATGAGCTGGCAAAAAATTTTACACTAAGAAGTGATCCCGATGATGAAGAGGCAGAGGTGTGTTATTTGTTAAAGCATACTTCTTGTTTTTAATCCGTCTTTCTTGAAACCATTGTGAAGAGCTGCCAAAATTATTTCAGAGAATCAACAATTCTTACCTGCTTTTTTTCATAAGTTTATCTATAGGTTAATAATAAATATTACTGATTCTTGTCATAGAAAATTAAAAAGAAGATGGAGACAACCCGTGATCAATTAGCAGAGGCATTGTACCAGAAAGGACTGGCACTAGCAGAGATTGAATCTTTGCAGGTTGGAATAGTTAATTTCTTTCGAAGTACTTTCATGGTCATCTAAGGTTAATCTTCTGTTTCTAAAATTTGGTATAAAGTATGTGAAAGTTACACGGCCAGATTTTATTTGAGTTGGTCAACCTCAGATGGTTGTATGTTTGGTTATGTCAAGCTTACTTCTTTCAAGGATGTTGAGCTTAAAAACTTATGAGGAACTTTTTATTTTCGTAGAAAAGCATCTACGATTGCCATGCGGATATGAATATATAGATAAGCTTTAATAAGAGGGGTATTGTGTGGGATTTTTTTTAATGTTTCACTCTTTTATTCTTCCGACTTTTTATATAGAGATAAAAAAAACACCACCCGTGAATTAAGTGGAGCAACACCAAAAGTGAATAGAAAGAATCTCCATATAAGATTAATTTTGAAATAAGGAGAGATTTCGTTTGGAAGGCTTCCTCAGATAAAGCAATGATTGGTTGCGTCACGCTTGAGAAAACAATCCAAAGTCCAAACACAAAACCATGCAAATGCCCACGCATCTGCACGGCTGTCCAAACGCAAAACCATGCAAATGCCCATGCATCTGAAAAAAGAAAGAAAAAGAATTCAAACAAAAATTCTTAGGTGCTCCGAGTATCAGTAAACTTGGTTGGTCACATCTTCTAGCAAGGACTCTTACCCCAAGATAATAGCCCTGCAGCGATGAAGAAATTTTTAATTGGGACGGGAAGATGGTACATTATGATTTTTTATGTAAATGATGGAAAATTTTAATTTTTAAGTTATTAACCTTTTAACACACAAATCCCACTATTTAATTTATATAGGGACATGCGGTGTACCATCTCGTGTGACAATCACACTAAAAAATCTCTTCCAGCAATGAAGCTTTCTCATCGGTCACTGGTGTAGTCCCATCAGCAGGAGGCACTGGTTGCGCAGAGGGCAACGTGGGTGACAGTGCCAACTCTGGGTGGCCATCAGAAAAACCAAGGTCATTTTGTACCACAGGAGTCGAAGCCATAGTAGAAAGAAATGGGCAGTCATCCTCGTTGAGTCGAAGCCATATCAGGAACCGTAAAGGTGTAAAGTTATAGATAAATAAATAAAAATAACACCACCCTTGAATTAAGTCGAGCAACGCCAAAAGTGAATGGGAAGAAGAATCTCCATGTAAAGATTTCAAATTTATGAGGAGAGATTTCGTTTGCAAGACTTTCTCCGATTAAGCAATGGTTGTCTACGTCATGATTAGAAAACAGTTTAAAGTTCTAACACAAAACCATGCAAATACTCATGTTGAGATGTCAATTCAATTCAAATTAAAATTCTTAGGTGCCCCGATTATCTGTATTTTCAGTATTTTTACCATAAGATCTTGATTTTATATATTTTTAAACAAAGATTACAAAATCCTGAGAGACTAAATTGTGAATAATTTGTTCTCAAACTAAATTACAAACTATATTTATAGAGAACTAAATCTAAGAAACCCTAAATCGAATGCGCTAAGTACAAAATACCAAACATTAAAATAAATATAAATAATAATATTTTCCAACTAAGCCCAAAATACCAAACATTAAAATAAATCTAAATAATAATATTTTCCAACATAAAGTATTCGAGGTATTAAGTAATCTAGAGAAACAAGAAAGTCACACTTCCTTGAATACGCTTGCTTCTTTACAGCAATTTATGCGAAACGGGTTAAATGTCGTGGGAACCCTAACGAGCTGCTATATAAGTCGAGCTTCAGCCGTGAAGTTCACATTTCCTCTTCGCTGCCGTTTAGCTCTCTCTCTCTCTCTCTCTCTCACAGAACTGAAAACCCCAGCTGCTCCTCCATAGCTGCCTCACCCCATCTCTTCTCTCTAACCTCTCATCCGTTCTTGCATCTCAGAACCAAAACCACACAAATATCCCAAGGTAAAACCCCAAACTTTTTCTTTGCCGTCTCCATTTCTTGATTTCAGAACGAAATAAAATACTAACACTTGCAGGTGGTCTTTCTGTGCTACCCCAACGCCGATCTGCGCCTCCAAGAGGGACAAACAAAACCGCTTAAAGTCTCCAGATCCGTGAGCCCAAGGTATAGATCTGTACTCAGTGCATGCTCAGTCGTGATTTTGTTTTCTGGAAACTCTGAATCTGTAAACTCTTAATGAATTTGTCATGCATGAACATATAGATCTGTGAATTTTCATCAATGCTCATGTATCTGTCTTGTTTGTTTACTAGTCCTCTCTCCCTTGATAGTTGTGGACCTTATCATGTCGGACCGACAATCCCAACCCTTGACCTCACAAATTGGAGAGGTACTAACTGATTTAACAACGCTGATTTCTCAACTTCAAGTTGAGGAGTCATCGGTATCGGCAGAACCTGCACGTGTCGATCTAAAGCAGGCATTTATCGACAGGTTTTTAAACCTGTTGAACACGTCTTCTCTAGAAGACCTAGAAAATATGAAGGTGAAATCGCTTACCCTGCGTTTTAGCGTTTTATTTTGGTCTACTTTGAAATTTCTAACTAATTTGAGTTCGAAATTTCGTGTTTAGGGTATCGGCGAGACGAGAGCCGCAAAAATAATGGAAGTGCGCGGAGGAGGAAACTCCTTTTACGAGCGTAAGTTTTTTTTTTTTAAAGCACACACAGTTTTGGGAAATTCGGAATACTAAACATATTTGAACAGTCTCTTCTCATTCCCTCTCTGTATGGTTTTCAGTTGCAATGTGTTTTTTGCATCGGTCCGAAAGAGTCCCTGCTGTGTATTTCAAAATCTCCAGCATTCTTCTGTTCAATCACTTAGAAAAGTCTCAAACCTTTTACAATTTGTTTCCAACTATCAATTCAAATAAGCAAACCCAAAAGGACTCAAATAAAACATTTTTGAAACTGAAGGGTAAGTTCTGGCTATATATAAAAATTTTCCTTCACCATTTGTTTTCCTATTCCTTTTTCTTCAATTTGCTCATTTTGTTTTTCCTGAATTTTTTTCTTGTATCAAACTATCCATTGATTTGCTTGGTCAATTAAATTTACCAACTTTCTCAAATGCCAAAAAGGTAAAAACTTTAAAAATGCAGACACTTAAACCATTTATTTATTTTAAGTTTCGTCTAACCGCTTCTTCTTTTTTTCAGCTTGCTGACCTGGGAAAGATTGGCCTGTCGATAAAGCAGGCTAAGGGTCTTGTGAGGAAGGAATTCGCCAGGATGCTCGATTAGTGCAATATATTTTATGTGTCGTTTGATAGGATTTTTACTACTTATGTGAATGCGATAAAACCTCATATTTTACTTGCAAGAATCACAAGGTTATTGTAGTATAAACGGATCTCGCAAGGTCATTCTCTACAGGGATTATTAAATAATTCGAAACAAACCAGATTCCAATTAATGATTGGAAAGTACAAATTTATGATTGATTTTATAATCTACTTAAATTAAAAACGAAATTAACTATTAATGATAAGACAATCTGCAATATTAAAACTAGAGAGAAAAGAAAACAGTTTTGAGAGAAATCAAATTAAGAAAGCACTAGGGTTCCACCATCACCTAGCAATCCTACGAATTTTTACCTATTACTTATGATCTATACATGCTACTTTGAAGGTTAGATTTTCCTAATTCATATTCTACTTGGAACCTCCAACATAGAACATATATCTAACATGCAACCCGTCCGGACGTTCGGATCAAATCTAAACATGAAAGACTCATTATGCTTTATGAAAATCTTTTGAAAAACCATGCAATCCTTAAGACGTGATATTCATCCTAAGAGAAATTACAATTATTAATCACAAGAAGCCAACATCAATTTCAGGAACCTTCCGACCAAAATTGCATCAAATTACTTTTCTAAAAATCCTAATGGTGATCAGGCATTAAAACAATTAGATAGTTTTTATTCCGGTGATTAACAATTCAAAGTACGCATGCAATCAATCATAAGTAATTAAATAAAAATCACATATTCATGCTAAGGCTCAAGGTTTTGCCCTAGCAATAGAAATTAGTTCCGCATATTCATAATTGAAATCATAGAAAATATATTCAAGAACAGGATTGAAAGCACCTTCAAGTAAAAAAAATCTTCAAAACCCTAATAATTCTCTCTGTCTCAAAAAATTGCATAAAAGAAAGCGTTTTTTTTTAAACTGTAGACGGCTAGACAATATATTTGCCAAGCCACCACCCCAAAACCCTAGAAAACATAACCCTAAATTAAATGATAAAAATTCGTCTAAAATCTGAACAGCCACGTTTTTGCCCATAAGCTGCTCCAAAACTGGCCCAATATAGCTGGATTTAATGTTTGGGATATTCTGAACACTTTTCCAGAAGGCCACGAACCCATCCGATGTCATCTTGGGCTTCAAAAACGCAATTAAAGCCCAAAAACGTCATTTTCCAGCACCGCACTGCTTCTTTATTTCATCGCCAGAAAATAACCGCTTGGTGGAAAAATCCCAAATTTTGATACGATAAAGCTAAGTGACTCACGAACGTCCTCCAACTGGAATTACTCCAAAATTCGTCCATTTGGTCCTATTTTGCTCAAGAGGAAGTCGAAAGTCCTATATTGAAAATACAATTCAAAGTATCAAAATTCTTCCAAAATATTAACCAAAATATACTAAGATTAGGGTAAAATATATAATATAAAATATACTCATCATCGTTCTTATCTGAGTAATTAGTAGTCTGTCAATTGCTCAAGTCAGCTATGAAAACCTTATATAATGTATGTCACGTCTAAGGTCGAAACACCTTTGTTAATGTAGTAGAAATTTGACTTATGCCTAATGCAGCTTTCCAAATGTTAACGTCCTAACGTCCATGGCAGTAAACAATGCGACGTCCGACAATTAAACGTGTTTACATGGCAATAAGGAGTTCTCAGAGATCAGATTAATATGATTAGCAATATCACAATAAAATTTGCTAGACCCCGTTACTGAGTGAGCTAGTCTTAAATGATAGTTTGTATGACATTAAAATGATCGTTTCTCGCTACCTCGTGGATATGTAATGCTTGTGATTATACTCATCTTTTGGCTTCATAGTGACATAAAACTCTCGGGTCCTAAAAGAGTCGTCCCCTTGAGACTTATAACATATTTTGCACTGAAAGAAGGACTACAAATTAAGACCGGTTCGGTCGTATTCTTTGCTCGTTGAAATGTAATGGTATTTGTTTCCTTTGCTTTTATTCAGTAAATCAATGCCACTAATTTTCAAATACTCAATATAGCTTACAATGAAATACCACTTGAAAACAATTATTAACAAATAAAACGTAGGGCCCAGGTGTCTAGAGGGGTTGGAGTACTAGAGGCAGGCCATCGGAAGGTCTCAGAGATAGGACAATAGAAGGGGAATGGCAGTATGTTGGAGAGATGGTAAATGAAAACCTAGATAGAATTAGGGTTAGAACTATCTTGTACTCCAAGAAAGTCAAGTTTCTACCAATGCACATTCTCCCTCCAAACCCAAAAGGCAAGTACCCCATCTTGTGCTTGCACCCCCCGTGGATGTTGTCCTTGAACCTCTCCGGCTTGAACTCGTTGACGTCGTCGCCCCACAGGGCCGGGTCGTGGTGCATGCCGACGATGTCAATCCACATGTTTGTTCCACTCGGAATCGACAGGTCGTGGCTCACTTGAATGTCGGCTTTGGCTTGCCTTTGTGCATTTGGTGCTGAAGGGTATAGCCGCAAGACTTCGTTCATCACCCATCCCATCTGCATGATTAAATTAATCACAATCGATTAGTTCTCTAATCATTATTAAGAACTTAAGATGCTTGATTACTGATTGGACGGTGAAGCCACTGGGGTATTGCCAGGTGGCATCCGCACACATACAAAAAATTGTTGCTCAGTTATTACATAATATGTGACAGTGACGTGTTATTCTATTCCGATCGAGCAAAAAGCATGCAATGGGAATATCATGAGCACCTTTCTCACGTGCCAAAGAGCGTGGAAATGTATCACTCTGTTGTTTGACCGCTGACCATTTGACCAAATATATCTGACCCTTTTTTCTTCTTCTTTTCTTTAGGGTTTTAGGGTTGCACATTTGCACAAATTTTTTCAATACGCGGGGAACACGGCTCAGTATATCAACTTTCCTATACAAATGGTTGAAATTTTTCTTTAAGTATATAACCACTTGTATTATGATACTTAGTAGCGAATTGTGTTCTCAACATACTGAAAAATCTCTTCATAAACCGAATTAATTACGGGATGACACATCATATGTTATTATATAAGTAGAAATTTTTTTTTAAGTGTCCCTCCACTAGTATAATGACATATGACATATGTGACTGTATCTCAGACATGCTGAAAAAATCCGGACCAACATTTATGGACCAAGCTATTAGGTATTTGGTCGACGTACTTTCATAACCATGCATTGGTTCTATATTTATAGAATTATAAACGTTAGACTTTATCTTTATAGAAATTCTGATGCACCAGATATATATAAGTTTATAACATGCATGATATAATATGACGAGACAAATGTGTGACGTATAAAAAGAAAAAAAGGGTAACTTTATGTATACTGGTTTGTCCCATGATAGTGTTTATGGAGCATGTCTTTTATTAAAGAAGCATTCTTTTGTTTATGAAGTTCACGTTTAAATTATGAATAATCTTTTATGTGTTATTGTACAATCTTACGGAGTTTAAATAACGTATCTTATTGAATGAAAGAAAAAAGGGAGAAGAAAAGGTTTACCTTCTTTAGTCCAGAAAGCATGTTCACGTCAATTTCTTTGTCTCCGACCACTTCCCTAATCTCCTCTCTCAACTGATCTTGCCAATCCTGGTGGGTGGCCAGGAGCAACATTGTCCATGTGATTGCCAATGCAGTTGTCTCATGACCTCCAAAGAAGAATGTCTTGCACTCATCCACAACTTCTTTTGTAGTTAAGGACTTTGTGAACCCTCCATGTTCACTCTGTTTAAGCAACAAGCCAAGCAGGTCGTTCTGCGGCCCCGACCCTCTGATCATTTTGCGTCTTTCGTCAATTAGTGACAAGAACAATTGGTTAATTTCTTGCCCAAGTTTTCTGGCCTCTAGGGCTTTCTTAGGGTGCATCATTTTCCCGAAAGGAACTCCCACGAAACGGATCGTTTTGAATAGTGTCGTTTGCAAGGCTCTTAGTTTTTCGAACACTAGCCGGCCACTTTGGTAGCTGATGCCAAAGCTGGTTTTGGCGATGATCTCTCCAGCGGTTGCTGTGACTTCTTTCTCGACGTCGAATTCTTGAGTGCCGGAATCTACGAGGGTCGTCCAATTGTCTAGCATTTTGGTGGTGGTCTCCACCATTAAGCTCGCCATTGCCTGTATACCATTGATTGAATGTGAACTATAATTTAGTGGGTTTGACAAAAAAGAAGAAGTTAAAGTTAAAGCACTAGAAGAACAAATGTGCTTCACTAATTAAGGTTTATATTATAATTGCGGAACATAATAGTTGCTTATTTCCTGTTTGTTTATGAATTACACATTCTAGTTAAAAAATGCACCACACCTTTTCTTATTAACCTGAGTTAGTAAGAGCTTGATCGTCATTAATTTATAATGAAAAAATATATTAAGTACTTTATTCTGCTACTGTGTTTGATATATATATATATATATAATATATAGAGAGAGAGAGAGAGAGAGAGAGATTATACCTTCAAGTTTGTTGGGTTAAAAGCAGGAGTGATAACATGGCGGTGACGAGCCCAGTCATCGCCTTCGGACATGACTAGGCCATTACCGAACATCGCCGCTCTATCGCGTCGGAACACCGCAGGCTTCCCCCAGTTCTTTGCTGTCACCTCCGTAGACAGTTTTTTCAGTAGCTCTGGATCTGCTATGTACAAAAATGGCTCCGTCCCCAACCAATAAACGAACATCTTTCCTGCACATATACACAAACACATATTTGAACGTGAAAAATTGTTCTGAGATGATTATCAAAGGAGCCCATAAGCGTGTGAGTATACGTACCGAAAGAGTTTTGCCAGCGAGCAAAAAAGGGAAAGAGGGTCGAGTGTATGTCATGGGAGATACTTGAGCTTTTAACATTGATGTTCTCCTTTTTCATCTCACTGAGATTTCCGAATGGAAAACTTGGAGATGGACCATCTAACCCATTTTTCTTGAGCTTCCTATATGCAAGAACTGGAAAAACCCAGAAGGAAAAGATTAAACTGCAAAAGACGTACAGCAGCGCCATGACGATGGCGATGATGAAAAATCGAACGATGATCTCCATTTCTCTGTCTTTCTTAACGTGTGTAGTAATATGCAGGCTGATATTTTTGTGAGTTGTGAGTAATAAGAAGAGAATGGAGGGAGTATTTATAGAGGAGGAGGAGGAGGAGGGCCAA